TTAAGAAAGTGAAAGAGAGAGAGAGAAACAATCAGGGATAAGGAAACTGGGAAAAGAAAGTAAGTCGAAGTAAGAGTGAGTTAATTGAAAGGAAAGAGAAACACAGTAAAGAGATTTATAAAAGACAAAGAGAAACTGGGAAAAGTGAAAGAAGAAAAGAAGCTGATATATAATAGGAAAGAAAAGAATCGGTGAGATTTGAACCAAAAGGGAGAAAAGGAAAGAAAGATTGAAAGAAAGCAGAATAGCTGAAAGTCTAATAACATTTTCGAACAGCTTTATAACTCAATTTACTTGATTTTATTGCTGGCCAGTGGGGTCCGCATTTCCAAACTGTCAAGCCTTGGGACTTGTGAAAGAAAGAGAGACGCCATCGAGTGCACTACGTTGGCAAATCGAACGTTTCCTGATGTGGAAGGGAAGATAACTAAAGTGACAAACGACTGAACACGGGATTTGACATTATTGAATGAAGTTTAGGAATTGCAACCAATGTGATACACTTCGTACAGCCAATGTCGAAAGATCATCAATTCACTCGATCTGACGATGGAAGCACGCCACATGATATGTATTTATCAATTTAGATATATATACATAAGTATATGGCTGCTTCTTTATCGATGCCTCTTGTCTGACTAGATTATTTAAATTATATATATATTTAAAATAATGTACAAACAAATTAAATCCTAAGGCAGTATACTATGCACACTGAAGTAAAAGAGCTCAGTTTCAGAGCATTTTTTTTAATTTTCTTAATCACTTCCGGGTGAACAATTACCGACAGAAAATGCATCTTTTCTGCGTTTTAAAGCAATCATCAGATAGTCGACCACTGTGCCTGTTATATTGTACTTGGAAGCTTTACTCCACACTCACACATACACACACGAAAAACACACACACACATATATATATATATATATATATATATATATATATATATATATATATATATATATATAAAGGAAATATGTTGTAGTGGTTCCAACGAGAGAAAAGTATGTATATTAAAAGAAGAGGGTGCCGCAAACGTTTTTGGTTGTAATGTGGATTTATTGAGAAAAAATATTATACTTTGTTTTACATAATTTCACGACACGTGTTTCTGGTCTGGTCTCGCAACCGTCTTCAGGTGAAAGTGGAGATTTTTACATATTATTAAAATAATTAATTTTTCTTCATGTTCAATGTGGAATATTCTCGATATGAGACATTCTGTTTGTGTGTTGGCAATCCGAATTTTCTTTCTAGAATTGCGAGACCAGACCAGAAACACGTGTCGTGAAATTATAAAAAACAAAGTATAATATTTTTTCTCAATAAATCCACATTACAACCAAAAACGTTTGCGGCACCCTCTTCTTTTTAATATATATATATATATATATATATATTAATGTTTTCAAAAGTCGAAGAAGAATACAACTCACTTAGACGGACGATAGTATTTAGCATGAAGAAGACTGTTGACTGTGGGAGTTGACATCAATATACACTTTTATTTGTAAGCCATAAATTAATGGAATTTAGTAAGCTTTAAAAAGTATATTTTATCCCCTATATATATATATATATATATATATATATATATATATATATATATATATATAATATAAATTTATCACATAGACAAAAACAGTTTACTCACTACAATGATGCAACTTCGTTTCGGTGCATTTCAATTGCACCTCAAACTGGTGAGAACCAAAAATGTTTATGAACAATTCTGCTTGTATGCAAGCCGTATGTGAAACGTCACTTCCTTTTTTCCATTTTCTTTTTTAGAAAAAATATACATAAAGCAAAAAATGTAATGGAGTGAAACAATAGAGCTTGTTGATATCAGTTTAGTGAATGATGGGCGAGGTGTTAAATTATGACCAGTCTGGAAATATTCTTTGTCAAAAACAATGGTCAAAATTTTAGGCATTTGCAAGCCTCCTAATAGAGAGGGGTGGGGGGAGCGTAGGTTGGAATAGGAGATAATAATACGATGAAAGAGGTAGGAGGGATAAACTCAAACGATAATAGTAATAGGGAATTTTTGTTGTTTTGTTATTACATATATATATATATATACGGGTTGTTACTTTTATACACACACACGCACACACACACACACACACACACATATATATATATATATATACATGAATTATTCACACAAAAACTAATGCAAAGGTTAATGATTTAAATGGCGAGACATCCATCATCGCAAACAATTCAAATAATATACAAAAACCTCCGAATCCGTTATGAATGAAATGACACTTGTTTATATAAATTTCTGCCGTATTAGTTCTTATTTTTACTACAAACTTTCGTCTGTTCCTACAGACATCTTCAGGTATAGAATAGATGTTGTTTTTGTTTTTTCTCTTAGTAATAAGAGGACAACGAAAATACATGTATTGCTGTATCCGAAAATGTTATTGAAAATGAGTTATTGTTTTTGGAACGCGCAGAAGCAACGCTGAGTTTGATTTTGAATTTTTAAAGGTTGTGCGTTCATATAAAATATGGTGATGAACAAATTTTTACTGGTAAATTTTTCGGATTCGGAGATTTTTGTATATTATTTGAATTGTTTGCGATGATGGATGTCTCGCCATTTAAATCATTAACCTTTGCATTAGTTTTTGTGTGAATAATTCATGTATTTGTAAACTGATTGCACGTTTATCGTAATATATATATATATATATATATATATATATATATATATATATATATATATATATATATATATAGGCGTGTTACTTTTATTTCAATTTAATTTTAATAATTATGTTGAGGGTTTCGTCTCGTTTTTGAAACATGAGAACTATTATGTAGCGAAGGAATCATATTTTAAAAAAATAATTATAATCTAAACTCTACTTCTGTATGGACCACTGATTTAAAAAAAAATAAAAACAAAAATACTAAAAGACTCTGGATTATTTACCTAACGCGTTCTTTTCCTATTTTTCTACATACCTGCACACACACACACACACACACACAAACATATATATATATATATATATATATATATATATATATATATATATATATATGAAGAATTATAGTCTTAAGATGTGCTATATTTATGGGTTTAAAGTGCTCAATACCAGGGATATATCGTGTGTAAGTATAAAAGTGGACATAGAAGACAACCCTTAGGGACAACAGTCTGTTTCATGCTAGGTGCAATCATCAGGCTTGACGATTGCATCTAGCATGAAACAGACTGTCGCCCATAAGTGTTGACTTCTATGTTCACGTTCACTATATAAATATATATATATATATATATATATATATATATATATATATATATATTTATATATATATATATATATATATATATATATATATATATATACTAGAACAATCAAGACTTAACAAGGAGAGTAACGTGAGTTAAGGAGCGTAGAGTCCAGAAATGTGTTAGGATTACACGCCGGCAAACCTACATACAAACATAAACAACCATATATATATATATATATATATATATATATATATATATATATATATATATATATAAACGGATAGATGTAAATTAAAATTTAAATTATAAATATTTGTTTCGATTTACTCATTCAAATTGACGTACAAGCTTTTCATCCGTAATCACTAAACTCGAGCGACAATTAAAAAATCTGGTACTCGACACTACTGTGTTAGATATTATTGGCTACAACACTCTGGAAGATGCTGTTGCTCAAATCAGCGTCAGGCAGGAAAACGGCCACGAATTGTATGTAGGCAAAAATTGATTTCTCATCGAGGAATATTAAAGAATTCTATTTGATACAATAGATGAAAGTTACGCGGAGCCTCTAGAAGTATGAAGGAAGTATTTATGGTGTGTAAGTCTGGCGAGAATGCACTTGTGCTTGTAGTTCTATTCGAATTCAACTGTTACGAAAAGATCGTGTTGTCAGTCCGGGGAATCTGCAATCCCAACAAGGTGTTGATAGGATACCGCTACCTATTATACACGGAGTCATTCAAGAAACAGGTCTACGAGTTTAAGAAGGTTAATTTGATCTCTGTTAACAGCATCGAAGCGCCATCGATGTATCACGTCCAGCACGTGAAACTATTGTCCTAGATAATGATCCTGCATCTTGAAATCGACAGCCTTGTAAAGGATTTAATTGGACAAAGAGAACACAAAAGGAGTCTTTTACCACACGGAAATCTAACCAAGTATTCTTGTGTCGGTGTCTTAAGCTCAGGGATATGAGGATTATTACGCCAGATGATCGAAATATTATCCCAATATGAATCATCTACTAGAATGCATATATTGTAAAATTCATGTCAAAGTCCAACATTGTCCTGCAGTGTTCGCTATATTCTTTTATTAAGGAGAAAACATTCACGTGACTGAATTTCATTGTATTTAAAGTGAGCGTTAACACACTCACGCACGCACAATCGTCCTATGCTCCAATCAGCATATAACGACTACATCGCGCATGAGTTGTGCTACCGACGTGGAAAAAATATATATTTATGATACACACACAGACACACACATGTATACATGTATGTATGCATATATATATATATATATATATATATATATATATATGTTTGTGTATGTGTGTTTGTGTGTGTGTGTTTGTGTGTGTGTGTTTGTGTGTGTGTGTGTGTGTGTGTAACGGGCGTATCAGATAAATATATTTAGCTCTAAGTTGAAAAGATGATCCCCCTTGCTCTTGTGACCACTTGATCCAGTTTTCCACTTTATTGTTCCCCATTTTTAAAAATCATTCAACTTTTCTCTTGCTTGGTCTTGAATGGACTTTAAAGATGAACGCCAGAGTATGAATGTTGGTACCACTACAGAGGGCCTGAATGATCTGTTTCCTCTCACAATTGCGCAGTTGGGGCTGAACCGAAACGATTTTAACCTCTTCTCTTTCTAGCAGAACAAGTCAAAGGGTGATTCAGTGTTCTTACGACAAATGGCGTCAAGATGGCTAAACTTATTATCTGAATTCCTGAAAAAAGAAACTCTATCAGTTTATTGATTTTTTAGATATTAAACATGTTGTGGGGTGGACAATTATCACATGCTTTTAAACGATTTGAACAATTTTGTTACATCACACACACACACACACACACACACACACACACACACACATATATATATATATATATATATATATATATATATATATATATATATATATATATATATATGTGTGTGTGCGTGCATGTGTGTATGGGGTGTGTGTGGGGGGAAATATATGTATGCCTATGTATTTTTAATGGTGAGATGAGGCGTTAAAACTGGAATTATTCCTGATTTCTTTGCAGAATAATTTGCATTACTGTTGATTGAGTTTTATAAAAAGTTTCAATAAAAAAACTTTTTCTACTGGAAATGAGCTTCTCCAGTCGAGTTTCTGTAATTAAAACAATCATGGTTACCTTGATAGACTTGAGAAATTTTAATAATGGGAATTTTCTTCCTAACATTTTGTTTAAAGTTGTCTGATAATCGAACATCTTGATTTTCTCATTAGTAAACTTATAATTATATGTGATAGTCATTTTATTTCTTTCTGTTACATATGAGTTTAAAGAGATTATTGATCCCTTTAAAAAAATCAAATTCCTTTTTTTTTCATCAAACATTGATTATTTACTTTTTTTCAATTCACAAATCTATCGCAGACATTATGGTAAATGTTCTAACGCATTATATTCCTTAGTTCAGACTTACACAGCTCGGACTCGCCATGACATATTTACAGTAGAAAATCTTCCCCATTCTCTCTATGGGACTTTGGCAACTGCTAAGATCAATTTACACAGCTACTTACTCAGAATTTTTACTTTAATGAACAGACTCTTTAGAGAATGCACCCTTAACTACTATAATACTAAACTATTCATGCCTATAGTCAAGCGTTATCTATTCTAAATATTCTCATAAGTATTTTTAACCCCTTTAATAATGCCACTCTATAAACCCTCTACTATGAGTGGATCTTAGGCCTTGAATTAGGTAACGAAAAGTAAATAAAGATCATATAGGCAAGGAAAGAATATTATAGGCTGAGAACTGGTGAATAAATCAGAATGCTTTCTTTTTTATATATATATATATATATATATATATATATATATATATATATATATATATATATATATATATTATTTTCTAGCATATGTTTTATAATCCTGTATATATATATATATATATATATATATATATATATATATATATATATATATATATATATATATATATATATATATATATATATATATATATATGTGTGTGTGTGTGTGTGTGTGTGTGTGATTGTCTTCCTTGATATGCGCCTATCATAGAAAATCTGTCAATATATATATATATATATATATATATATATATATATATATATATATATATATATATATATATATGAATATAAGCCAACACTTATGGCGACAGTCTGTTTCATGCTAGACGCAATCGTCAGGCCACCCTAACGATTGCATCTACCATGAAACAGACTTCTATGTTCACTTTTATATTTACACATGCTCTGTCTTTGATATTGAGCAGTTTATCCCATAAATATAGTACATCTTAAGACTATATTAGTTTATATATATGTGTGTGTGTGTGTCTGTGTGTTCTTGCGCGTGTTTGAGTGTACACACACATTTTTATATATATATATATATATATATATATATATATATATATATATATATATATGTATATAACATTAAATATCGATTTAATATAGATAGATAGATAGATAGATAGATAGATAGATAGATAGATAGAGATAGATAGATAGATAGATGTGTGTGTATAACATGAAATATCCATTTAATATACATATCTAACGAGAATGCAAACTGATTGTAAGTAACCATCAACCACAAGATTATAACGCAACATCATCGATGAGAAATGTTGATCATGGTAACAAATTAGCGACACTTGAGGGACTGAGCCTAACGTCATAAAACCTGATTGCTCTACTAATTGACTTATCACGTTGATACTTGTCGAGTGAATTACACCTGTTACGAATCCGTTCACGTAATTCAATGGCAAGCTGCCTACAGCCCGTCAAATGTTCAGGGTCTACGACGATATAGGTGATCGAAAGATTCTTAGTGGATAACTTTCAGATCCCCAAGAGATGTGCAGTTGAGGAAACTGTGATCTAATTCGACGATGCCATTGATCTGACTAATCCCTTCTGTCCGATTCCCCTCCAGGCTTTGTCGGGGATGCCGGACACGAATGATGAAATGCCGAATGGGAGTGATTGCCCGGAAAACCTGGGGCTGTAAATCTCTACACAGCTGAGGTGGCCGGCAGGCATTAATCTTCAGCAGAAGATACTGAAAAAGAAATAGTGAACAACGCTTAAATTGAAGTTAAGAAAAGAGTTTTACATTTGGTTACTTAGGACAAAACTCAGTTATATATTGAAACTTATATAAAAGTATAAAGTTTCTGAATTATTATTCAAATTATTGGTAAAGCTTAAATATGTAAAGGGGTGTAAGAGTTTTTTAATGAATCAATTGTACAAACTTTACGAATTAAGAAAATTAATAAATAAATGTTTGAAAGGAAAAGATATATAAAAAAGAAAAGTATACAGTCTATCTGAATTTATGCAAATCAAATAAATCTCAATAACTCAAACAGTATTGAACAAATATTTGTCGAATTTAAACTCGTCCATTTCCAACCGTAGTAGAATATTTAAGTAAATATTCTGCCATTTTTAATAGCTAATTTTTGAGACAATTAGCATTTACAAAAATGAACTGACTGAAGATAGTATGCAGATTAAACTGATATTAGCTGAAGACCTTTGAAATCTAATAAAAACTATTTTTTCTTTTTGTCCAAAATATATGTAGAAACATGGGTAAAGGGAAGGAGGGGAAAACTGCTGGAAAAAACATTGAGTTATTGAGTGAGGGAATGTCTACATTGGCGATATCAAAGGAGATTTTCAGAGATCATGAAACGATAAGGAAGGCTGTAGAAACAAATGAAAAAGGCTTTAAGAAATGGCTTCCTAAGATGAACGTAAATTTAAATGAGTTATAGCGAAACAAACAAACGCTCAGATCTTGGAAAATGATGAAATTGAGGAAGCTAAGAATAAAATAGGTATGGATCTGTATGGAAAGGTATGGGAAAAGATTGGGATCTATTAAAAAATCTCCGAGGCAGACACATCTCACTAATGCAAATCTTTCAAAGCTTCAAAATTTGCCAAGAAACTCGAATGCATTTGCTGGACATGGTGGATGAACCAAAGGATGGATTTTATTCAATTCAGACGTCCCTTTGACTAAAAAATGACAACAAGGAGGCGATAGTTTTATAATAAGGGCTGATATTGTCAACAAAACCATTATTGGACCATTCAAAATCAATGAAACAGTTAAACTGAACAGTACTAATTATTGCGATTTTATGAAGAAGATTTTCTTTGCATGATACAAGTCACATTCTCGCAATTTTAGAGTGAAACCTGTATTTATGCACGACAATGCTACTTTGATTTAACTAAGATTATCCGTGAATTATTTGCACATAAAAGATTTGCAAGAGAGAAAATAATGAAATGATTACAACCAAGTCCTGACATGAATTCGATCGAAAATCTATGATCAACTGTGAAGATGAAATTATGTGAAGATGGCGAACAGCCAAGCAGACCCATGAGAAGTTATCAAAACAGCAATGTCGGAAACTTAATCTTCTGCATAAAGAACAAATTAACAATGATAAATTTCTGTTGATTTTATTACCTTTTTATTGAAATTTTGTCATCAAGTGCCGAAAAAAAAAACTGAGATGTTATTTCTATTATTTTGATATATTATTATTTAATCACTTCCGTTTTTCCTTACAGCGCGTAATCCTCACATATAAAACGATTATCCGGACGCTATTTGGAAAGGAAGAGAAAACAGAAAGACGCCAATATCATGGCAAATATTTTTCGGGCAACGAAAACCAGTCAAACAACGAATTAATTTATCTTCATCAACTAGACGGGAAGAAAATGTATGCATTTTTCATCTTTCACTTAATATAACAAAATTGGAAAATCACTAAATATTATAAAATTTTATCTTACATTTATTTAATGTTTTTGTCTTAATATTTTTCTGTTTCGTAATTATCAATGTTATTTGCATCTTTCCAGATTCTTAGTCGATACACAATTAGCATTCACTAATTTTTTTATAACTTACTGTATACAATCCTAATGCTGTAGTCATTAAGGTTTTATTGTTAGACGTTAGTATTGATTGAAGTTATTCGATACCAATAGTGGAGCCGATTGGATTAATTTATCGTAACAATTATTAATTCTGTGATAAATCCAACAATTAAAGTAGATATTTCGATATATATATATATATATTGAGAATGGCATTGGTTAAACGGCAAGACACATAAACCTGGTTTCTCTCATCATCATTTTTTTCTAAATAGTTACAATGGGATGGCCAAATTTTCTCATTCCATTGAGGGTCGTTGCTGTCTTGGCTGACAGTCGACCTAGTGATATTGTCAGGAATAAAAATACTGATTATTGTATTACGTCACAAATGTTCACTTCTCATATGCCTTCAGCCAGCTTGGGAAAATAGGCTCCCTTAAATTTAATATGAGAATATCCCTTCACCGATTTCATATACAGAGGGAGCTACCCCCTACCCTCGAAGAGCGAACAATAGGTTTACCAACAGTCCCGGATTGATGTGACATCTATGTTAAGAGGATCAAACCAGTAGCCTCGAATGGTTTGATTCTTGCGAACAGAGGATCACCCAGACAAAAAAAAAATACTACCATATCTGCACATACAACACGCACACTGTCAACTACCTTGATACCAACTCTCTTGAGACAGTGCATTATCTACATGGGACAGTAAACTGGGACATTAACGGACTATCAGAGACTAAATCAAAGGAAAAAATCGAGTTTCACCAGGATTCCAGACACTATTGTAATCTTCCCAGTAATGAGATTCGTCGTATAAATGGAGTGTGTTTCTTAGTTTAAAAAAAGTGCGTCTCAGTAGTGCACGATTACCAACCACTACCGGATAGATTAAACGTTCTGAGTTTAAAGGAAAAATTGTTGTAAACTTGTATTTATCTAGTGCTATTCAGAGGAAGAAATCAATGTGATTTATGACAGTATACAAACCATTATAGATGAGACACCACAGAGAGATCACCTCATTCTCATGGGTTACTTTCCTTGTAAAGTGGGGGAAAATGAATCAATCATTACCATCAAGTATTGGAAAACATAACACGGGTACAGTTAATTTGAGTGCTGTGACTCTAGCCCAGTTTTGTACGAAGTGCAATCTGCTGATAACCAACACAATATTTCAAAGGAAAACCTGTTCACTTGGATATCACTAGACAGTATGACTAAGAATCAAATCGACTTTATCATAGCAAGAAAATATTCAACAAGATCACAAAATATTAGGCAGCATTGCTTCTAACATTCCTGATATATCTGGCACACAAAATTTGCGTACAGACTTTCGTATCAAATTCGTTTGTGCAAAAAGAAATAAAATGCCATGGAACGGTAAATTAGTCAACGTTTTATGTAACAAAACAGTGAGCCGATTATAACGAGTTGTAAAATCAATTTACAGCTTTGGAATCTGATGAAGACCATGCCGACATTCATTATACTGAGTACAGAGGTATAGAAGACATATCCGAAGGAATTTTGCCTAAGGAAAGTCTTTAATTTCCACAGTGGATATCACAACAAACATAGCAATATCTGAAAAGCATAGTATCAGAAGTAATCTGCAAAACTTTTTGAATGTACTGGCCAAGCATGTACTAGAGGTTGGCTTAAACATCATCTCAAAAACGAAGTGCATGACTGTTGTGTAGTTATTTCGCAGTGGAAGCTTGTATTTGTACTAAATCGGACCTAAATAGGTTCGACGTACAAAACAGTTTTCTTTATTTAATTTTTACAGGAAATATGAAGAAAAAACAAAAACAAACAAAGAAAAACTTCATTTTTTTAGCGACATCGTAGCGTATCCTCTACGTTTTGTATCCACTTTTAAATGATTAGTTGCCTTTCTTTTTCTCCTGGATCGGCGTACCTCAGGTAAAATCGTTGCAGGCGTTGTTAGAGCAAACGTATCGAAAATCACCTCCATCGGCGTTTCTTTCGCCGGACTGCTGTCAACCATGTCTGAAGAGCTTCGTCTAATATGGTTAATGTGCCGTCTTCACGTGAATTTTTCGCTTTTCACCAAGTACATCATCTTGCCAATCCGCTTTTTTATTGTTCCAATCTCCCAGAACGATTTATTCTGTTTATAGACTTTAAAGTATTCTTTTTCACCAGGATTGTATTTTTTTACTTGAATAAATTTTTCTCTACCTGGCTTTGTCTTTTTTGGTCGTAATTTGTCGAAGACAGATCTTACCCGACGTGAAAACATCACCTCGGCTGGCGATTGTGAGGCTGGTGTTCCGTTATTTGGGGTAATCCTGTATACCTGTAGAAACTTCTGTAGGGCTTCATCTGCAGGTATTTCCCTAGCTTTCTTTAGAGCTCTTTTTAGGGTGTCCACAAATTTTTCAGCTAACCCGTTTGATCTTGGGTGATATGGAGCTGTAGTAACATGTTCGACGTTGTATTCCTTGCAGAAATCTTTAAATTGTTTCGACGTAAACTGACTTCCGTTGCCCGTCACAAGTGTGTCTACTACACCAAACCTGGCGAACAATTCCAGCAGGAAGTTTTTAGTACTTTGCGTCGTCGGATTTCTTATCCTTTGT